AAGTTTGATTTTGACCTTGTCCTACAAATGGTCGACCCTCAAGCATCAATTCAATCTATCTTAGGGATTTTTTAGCCCAATTCCACCTTCAATTTAATCCTGATATCAACCATACTAATTATTTATCTCTTCTATCTTATTTTTACTCATTTATGAACTTTCTAAGGCACTAAAAGAAATTCTATAATCTAGAAGGTAAAATTATTAACAAACTTTTAATCTACTAGCTATTAAGACAAGAAAATTAACTAAGAGGCTCTTATAAAAGCCATGTTTAAATATCTTAAATTATTGTTGAACCAAAATGATTTAATATTAATTAGAAATTAATTTTTTATGATATCTTTACCATATAGTTGTATTACAATACGACAATGTGACATCAATAATTAGATATTAGAAAAATTGCACTATTTTTGTATCATGTATAGCTCCCATAATATTGAGTTGGTTTTTAATTGTAGCTCATTATCTTCATCTAAGTCAAGCTATTTTTGTAGTAATGCATATTTGCTATAAAAAAGTCTTTCTTTTACAAATTCTCTTGATGCTTTGGAGTGCTTCCAACTAAGTTGGCAAAGTCACAAAAAGAGTAAATAATCCATTCAAATATACATAATAAGGACTTCTTTTTCTACAAGATATAGCTATGACCTTGAATAATTATAATTTTTTTTCATGAAAAGCATAATTAATATATATTTGAATTTAAAAAGAATATTTTTCTCTTAATTATTTTTATGCATGGAATTCTATATATATATATATATATATATATATTCATTCATAGATTTTAATGTTGATAAAAAGATTTTAAATTATAAGTAATGCTATTATTTTAATTTGTCAAGTTATTTATTATAGAGATTTAATTATTATAGACAAAATTTATTGAATTTAAGTTTGCAACAAAGATAATTAAGCTAGAAGTTTTTAATACAACAAAGATAACCTAAGTTACTTCAAATAATAAAGTAGAATGTATACAAGTATTCAAATATATATATATATATAATTAAAGATATATAAATATATATGATTAAAGATATATAAATATATATGATTAAAGATATATAAATATGACTAAATATATATATATGATTAAATATATATATATATGATTAAATATATATATATATATATGATTAAATATATATATATATATATGATTAAATATATACATATATATATGATTAAATATATATATGTATATATATGATTAAATATATATATGTATATATATGATTAAATATATATATGTATATATATGATTAAATATATATATGTATATATATGATTAAATATATATATGTATATATATGATTAAATATATATATATATGATTAATATTCTTTATTGTAATAACATAATTAAATAATATGCTTAAATAGTTAATTCATAGGTAATTATATAATATTTTGATATTAGATATATTTAATATTTTATTAATTGGAAGAAATGAAATGAAATATAATACTTTTAAAGCTTAATTAAATATTTGTATAATAATTGCAAAGATATTTTTTTAAAATTTTTTAAAAAAAATTATAATAAATATATTTCTAAAAGTTTAATTCTATAATAAGCTTACAAATTAAAATTTGAATCATTTTTATTTTTTATGTGTAATTATTACAAAAATAGTATAAATAAATGAATTGCATTGAGGTTGTAAAGTCACTTATAAAATTTGTGGCATCACCCATAGAAGAATCTATATCAATTTTTAAAACTTAAATTGTATATGTATACATGTGTTTTTTAATTTTTATTATAAAAATAGCATTTAATTGGGATAAAAAACTTATTAAATTTTATAAATATTAAATTAAAAAAAATATTTTTTATTTTTTATTTTTTAATTAGCTAATAGTATTTAAATTATTGATTTTATTTTTATTAATTATATTTTATAAGAAATAGCGAATTTTGACTAAATTTAAAATATTTTAATTCCTAATTTTTAATGACAAAACATAATAATATGAAGTTGTTAAAGCCACACCTTAATGTTGTTCAAGCTACACTCCCCAAACCAGGCGATGACTGAATTTGGAGGACAAGAAATAAGGAATGGGAATAGGGAACAAATGACAAGGGTTGGGAAGGGAGGACGGGAGACATGGAACAAAGGTTGGAGACAGGGATGGACAGGATTGATCATGAGATGGTAATGTGAGAAGCGGCTTTAATAACTCATTAATTATATATATAATAATTTTTTAATATTTATTTATAATATTATGATTTTTAAATATTAATTTATTATTAAAAAACTAATAAAACATATTATTTATGTTTTTTTTTCTTCAAAATTTTTTAAGAATGCCGGGACTAAAAAACTCACAAAATACTTGAGTTATAAAATTACTATTTGATAGTATTTTAAGAACCATCATTTTTTTATGTTTAAATTACATATAAATTTAAAAGATACATCTTTTTCTTAGAGAAAAAAAATATTAAGTGCTTGTTTTAATATATATACTATTATTTGCTTATACAAGCCATAAGAAGACAAAGTACTAATCATGAGAGAGTCCCATAGAAAATCCCTCTAGGAACATGATTCTGCACGCACAATTCACAAATTATTTTTAAGCTAGCTTCTTCCAAATCCCCTTTTTATCAAGAATTGTTAGAAGATAATCCAGCTTTAACAGGAGATAGACCTCCCCCCCCCTCGTCATTACGTGTCACAGAAACCTCCTTGTTCAATTGACTGGCTCCGCCATCGTGGGCCGTCGGATCTCAACCGCCGATGAGATTTATGGGAACGGAGGGAGGGAACGTAGGGGAACAAGGGGGCGGGCAGGTTGGAGGTTGGAGGCCGAGCAGTATGGAAGGCCGTAGGTTGGGAACTCAGAAGCCATTCCTCATTGGGCCTGCACTGAATCCACATTCATATTCATGGGTGCTGAATTTTGTTTAGTAAAAAAAAAATTAATATTTTTAAATATGAAAATTTAAAAATATATATTTTCATTTGTGCAGGATTTTTTACAATATGTAATTTTTTATTTTTTAATTTTAAATATTTTTTACAAAATAAAATTTTGAATTAGTGATTTTTATACATTATCTTCATGAATACAATATTTTCGTAAATGTATAAAGGAGCTTCTAGCACTATTAGATTTCTAAAAATAAAAAAATGCTTAATATGCTTTTTTACTTCAATAGTTAATCAATTGGTTATTTGAAAAAATTAATTGTATTAATATTATAAATTGTAAAAACTAAAATAATTTAAAGAATAAAATTATGTAAATTATTATATATATCATTAAATTATTAAATATGATATTTCAAATTTTAAACTTATAATAAAATAAAATTTATAAATTATTATTAAAATACAACTAAAAACTAACTTTAATACACCTCATGACTTCAATTATATTCTTTTCTAATGCAATTGTATATATGTAGAAGAATTGCATATGTTTTTAAAAAATAAAAATATAATAACGTAAAAGATATCATAAAGATTTTTATATTACTCCTATTTATTTTAATTATTGATTCATCTAAACTATAATTACTTTAATAATATTATTCTAATCAACATGTATCACTAAACTAGTCATGTTTCAATATATTTTTTATTTTATGCTTTTCACCTATTTTACTATTGTAAATATATTTTAGTATTTTAATTTATATACAATATTTTAATTAAAAAACATTGAACCTAATTTTTTCATATAGATATATATATATATATATATATATATATATATACACACACATAATTTAATTTTGTTATCTTTAATGTTATATAGTGTCTTATAATGCTACAAAACAAGCTTATAACTTAGATCTTTTTTTAATTTCCAATGCTTAATACGGATTTGATCTTACATTTTTTAGGAAGACTTCCATTGCAACTATTTGGATTGATATTTTAATTAGGGCTTATACTTCTAATGAACAATGAAAAATATTCATGATAAGACTAAATTAAAAAATTACAAGATTAAATAATTAATAAAACCAGTAATTTATCTAACATATCATCTTTATTTTATAATTTTTTTTATTCTTAGAAGTAAATTTGACTATGTGTAAGGTATATCTTGCTTTAAAATACATCTTTTATATACTCTTATATAAAGTTCATTTAATAATATAATTATTTGTGGTAAAAAAGGGACAATAGAATTTGACTGAATTATGTTAGATCTATAATTATTATATGTATATATATATATATATATATATATAACTCAAAACTACAATGTTTTCTGCATTATTAAAGTATTAAGACTATTATATTAAAGTTGTACTATTTTTGTCATAAAACTAAAACCTCATTAATTTAAATTCATTTTTTTTTATTGAAAGAACATATTTTATAAAGTTTTTAAAATTATCTAAATAATTATATATAATTTTTTTTCCTTTTTTTGGACCATTATAATGTATGTTAATGCAATGTGAGAAATAATTAACATTTTTATTTTTTAATTTAGTTTTATGCAATCTATATATATTATAATATATTTAATGAACAAAATATATTACTACCTAGAATTTTTATGAGTTGCAAGAATTCTTCCTGGAAACATAAGTATCATGTACAGTGTGTGAGTTTGTGTATGACTACAAAAAAGAATTGTTTGAAGCAAGAGAAAGTAGGATTGAGGGGCAGCCCTGAACAAAATTTGGCACCCATGTTTGTGAATGTGGATCAGTCCGGGCCCAATGAGGAATGGTTTCTCTGTTCCCAATCTACTGCCCTCCGTGCTGCCCGACCCCCTGGTTCCCCTACGTTCCCAGAAATCTCATTAGCGGTTGAGATTGCATCTGAGCCGTAGCTGCGATCCGACGGCCCACGATGGCTTAGCCAGTCGATTGAATAAAGAGGTTTCTGGACACGATTCTACGAGTCCTTCCTCCTTAAGTTTATTAAGAAAAAACCAAAAAGTAAAAGTAAGAGGCTGTGCCAGGTGGATTTCCGACGTGGCATCGGAAAAACGAAGCCCCACTTCGATGCTTGTTGCAATTCCTCAGAGGCAACGACCCCGCGAGGTCGGCGATTGAAAGAAGAAGAAGAGGACGAGGTGGAGGAGGAATTGGCACTGTGTTATACTCTTCGAATTGGCTGTTGTTGTTTGTTGTTTACATTGCTAGTTGGAGGTAGCGTTGAAGAGTTTCAATCGGGAATAGCGAGTCGTGAAGATGGTGCGTGAGGACAACAGTTTCGTCTTCGGGACGGAGGATGATGACGACGAAGCGATTGTAGCAGCTAAGGGGAAAGAGCTGGAGGGAGCGTGGGCCGAGACTAAACAAGAGGTGCAGAAGCAGATGCAGCTCCTGGCGTCTTTCGGAACCGCGGGCGGAGTGGCAGACGCGGCAATGGTGCCGCGGACGAGTGCGTTGTTGCAGGATCACATTGCCAATCTGAGAACCCTAATTGTTCGTTACGAGATGATTGCTCAGCAGTACTGTACGTAAGTAACGCACGAAATTCTAGGTGTTTCTTTTCACTTTTTTTTTATTTTTTTATTTGTTTTGTTTTGTTTTGTTTTTTGTTTTTTGTTTTTTTTTTTTGGCAATGTTGAATCAACCGCTTTACTTTTTGGTGATGCAAATTTTGCTTGCGTTTGTGATGTTATCTGATGCGTTGCAATGCAGGGAGGAGGGCGTCCAGGCCGCTATGAGGACTGTGCAGGAGTGGAAAGATCAAATTCAGGCGTGGGTCCATCACATCCTTTCACTTTTCAGTGGTGTCTTTCCTCAGATCGATACAGTATGGTTTAATTTTTCCGCGGCAGGAACTACGTAACGCGCCAGAAATATGACTTGATATCCTGTTCAAATTCGTGTCATTACCGAGGTCAGTGGCAGTATTGTGAAAAATCAAAAATGAAAATAAAAGCTTCTACTCGACCATGTGTGTAACTTTCAAGTTCATCTACGCGTGCAGATTACGAATGAGCTCAAGAAATGCTAATCTTCAGGCTAAACGCAACATTGATCAGGCTGGTATGAGTGAGGTCGATCCCGCATTATCTGCTGCTGTTTAATCGAAAAAAATAGGGCTTTCCTCTTTAATATGTCTTATAATTAGTTCAAGCAATTTTCCATTTTTGTAAATAAGTTCATGGTAAGACAGCTACATCAGTAGTGTGTACAATTTTTTGAGCTTTGTGGAAATTCATCACTCCTAAACTTGCAGTGATACTTTTGCCAATGTGGTTTTCAGAGGGAGCAATCTTCTTTCGGGTGGACAGGATGTCGACCTTCGCCGCAGACAGTTGCAGTATGAATCATATCGTTCTCATTCGAGCTTTTTATGCTTATGAAACTTTTCTTAGTGGTGTAAGCTTTTCATCAGATAACCTGCAAGCTGATCCCCTTCCGAAACGGAAATGATCCTACCCTACATAAATTTGGAATCCATGCCATATTCTCATTCTAATAAATGTTTCTATGTTCAAGAACACGAGCTGGTATGACTTCTGCTGCCGAGGGCATCACTGATGGATTGCGTCGCACCCGCCAATTGATGATTCAGGTCAGAGTAGAGTTTTCATTAGACACGCTATTTGTTTGCAATTTTACTAAAGTATATAGCTCGAAAGAGTGATAGCTGGAACAAATCGTCTGCCGCCTTACCCACAGTATTAGTCCTCCTTGGGTTGGACATGTTTTTGACAATATTTATCAACACGCCCCGTCTGTGGCCTGTGCCACTATCGTGGTTTCTGCGCCTTTCTCTTTAATGTTAAACACCTCGGTTGGAGGTGATCAGAAGTGCTTCTGTCATACAATGTTCATAAGGAATTTGTTTCTTTTTTTGTAGACATGAAACTAATGTTGGAAACTTGAAGTGACCATTTATGCTGCATCATCAATCCTAATTTTACACGGACAATCTTACGTGTATTCATTGTCAATGAGTTTTGTAGTATCATTCCTGCTATGTTCTAGCAATGTACCCTTCTTCATTATCTTTGTAATTTACCCTTATTCTCGAAATACTTGCAAGAAGTGGAACGAAACGCAGCCACATTGACTGTGTTAGGTAAATTCGCATGATCTCATGAGATTAGTCCACTCACTTCACATTGATGGGGTTGAAAACCTTCAGTTTATATTTTGCAGGCTTTCGTGTTCTATCTAATCAATGACAGAATATGTATGGGGTGATGCTAGATCTTCTCATCCGAATTCTGATGATGGATACTGACTAGTCATCTCGCTTATCTTGCTTAGATCAATCGAATGCGACACTTAGGAAAGCTGATGCTGAGTATAAAGGTCAACGTTCTATTCTAGGTGTTACTCGTTCCAAGATAACCTCAATTACAAGGCAGGATTTAATTGAAAGGTATAAAACTTTTAAATATTAGTAGGTGCATACGGTAGAAATGAGGATTAATGGTTCATAATTTATTTCTTATATTGGAATTTTTTCAAGCTATCGTTTTCGAATGAAATTATGGAAGGGAAACCTAGCTTTACTTACTTACTGATGCTTTGCTATCTTTGAGAAGATGTACACCATTGGTATGTATTGTCAGATTTGTCCTAGCAAAGTTGTCGATTATGACATGGTTGATAATCAACAATTTTACACCCGAGATGTATTTGTCTAATGTGATTTGCATTCTGGTGGGCTTTAGGTGATTTGTTCTATGGCGCATGTACAGCATCTTTGATATTTTTGTTTGTCATGTACAAGTCTGTACAATTCGTGCAGATGCAAGGTACTTTTTGGGCTTCAAGTGAAGCTCCATGCGGTGTGTCATTGTTGACACTTCGGGGTGTGAAAAATAGAAATGGATTTCTCAGCTGTGTTTGAAATGCGACCCTTGGGCTCTACATTTATTCTACTTAAAAAGATGTGTTGGAAAAAGATACGACAATTTGGTAGTAACACACACACAAAAGTTGGAGAAAGGTAAGCATAATTCATGCAAGTTTGTTTAAAATTCATAAAGCCCAAACTGTTTGTCCTCTACGTTAGATTCTGCACGAACCCTCAACCTAAAGCACAGTGTTTTCTTAATTCAAGTGATTATTTTGCTGAAAAATATTATGAGGAGAAAATAAAAAAATGTAAAAATAAGAGGCAATGCCTTGTTAGTGAAGAGATTCCAAAACGTTTCTTCATTCATCTTCCTCTGCATCGATGGGTGTCTTGACGAGTCAAGCGAGAGTGCCTCCACAAAACCTGTTTTACTATTTATTTACTTATTTAATCACAGAACTCCCGAGTCACATCTGAGATCTTACAATAAATGCACCAGACACCACTCGTTTTGAATTGGGTTCAGCTCATCGTCTGGAACCTGCATTTCTAAAATGGCATGAAACTCTTGAATGCCATAAATCGATCCCAGGAAACTCAAAGCACTTTTTGAAATAGGGGCAAACCCATAGTTTGTTTTGGTAGCAGGTAGTTCAGAATGTTGGAGTTTTTCAAATAGAAAGTGGTTGCAGCCAAATGGAGTTCGATGTACCATCCTGTAACTCTGGTCTCCGAGTACCTCATGTCGAGCTTGAGGATCGGACTTTGTTGCATATAAAAAACCAAAATGAGTTCATCTTGAAATCAGCTCAATACAGCAATTGAGAATTTTAAGTAATTGTACAGTAAAACCAAAGTATGTCTAACCAAGTAACAGTACCAATGAAATATAACTAAAATCATATCAATAAAGTTTCTGCCTTGCATTATAGATTACTAATATAAGAAGTATATATATATATATATATATATATACAAAATATAAGAAATTGTAATACCTTTATAACCAGTGTCATTTATAACTTTTTAACACCTTAAACATTATAGAAATAATTTATTTAAAAAAACCATCATGCAAAAAAAGCCTAAAATAAATCATTTAAATTTTATTTCTTTAAAAAAAAATCTATTGTTATAAATTTTATTCTTAAAAAAACCTCTAAATTCAACCTACAAACAAATACTACTTATCAAAATTTCATCTATGGTATGGAATCTTTTCAAAGTAGTTTTTTTTAAGTACTTTGCTAGAGCAGCAAAATATGCGATGCAAGAGTGACTAAGATGTTTTGCAACAATATTCAAGTCTTTATGCTTGATTTTTTTAACTTTTGGCAATGGTTAAGATAAATTATAACATGTGAACTCACTCTTCTTTTGAAATGTTTTTGAGTTCTCACACTTGGAATCTTTTTATTTTGTTTCAACAAAATCTCACCACCCTTGAGCTTTGGGCTATTACATTTAACAAACAAACTTAGAATTTTGAACTTGTCAATGGTTCCAACTTTAAAGTTGTTAATAATTCAAACATGTCAATTTGTCAAATATCATCCTTGAACTTTCGATTTGTCAATAGAATAAATAATACATTCATCACTCTTATTGCCTAATCTAAGAGTTGATTCTTGGTACCCTTGTAAAACAAGCTATATTTTTATTTATTCCAAAATATTAAATTAGATCAATGAGGTTGAGTTTTGGTCATCTCAGCTCATGAAAGAATTAAAATGACTAAATTGTGAGAATCACCATTTGAAAAGTTATTTCATGTCAGCTTCAACAACTGATATTTAATTTATTAAAAAACAAACATACATACATACATACATACATACATGATTTGATAGTGCAACATATCATATGTAATCTAATTTCTAATAACAACAAGATGATAAATGTAGATGAGTGACTTCAAGGAAATTAACATAGGAAAATAATTTTAATAATAATAATAAATAATAATATTATTATTAGTAACAATCTGAGTTCGTACCAAATAGGGAAGAGAAAAGCCACGTCAGATTTTCGGGGATTGGTGCCAGGTAGCAGCGTCACGAAAGCAACGCTCAAAACCATGCATGCATGCCGCGGTTCGATCAGCCCCTATCTCCGTGTGTGCCTAAGGCTGTGGCTGGCTAGCTAGCTCGCTGGCTGGCTTTGTTTCTTTTGCTTTCTTTCTTATTTTCTTTTGTTCCGTTTCGGCAGCGCCCCCTCGTTCTTCCAGCCGCTGCTCAATACTCATAAACCGTGCTTTTGGATGCGAGAGTTTGAATTCAGGGATATTGCCCTCGACCTTGGCCTCTGTCTGTATCCCCTCCGTATTTCCCTGCCTCGCTTGCGGGCCTGTCTCTCGTAGCCGTTTGAACTTTAAACAGGTCAGCATTCTTCTTGTATTAATCTTTTGGTTCCGAGGCTGTGCGCTGTGATGCGGAGCGTTTTCCATTTTGGCTGAGAGTTTATGTGGAGGTTCATGCTTGGACCCTGTGTGGCACACCTGGATAATGCATTTTTTTTTTTTTTTGTTTTGAGGCTGTAATGATGTTGTGTAGTTGTTATCTGTGTTAGGGTTCAGGGTGGGAGTCTGAGTGTGTGGTGAGAGTGAGTGTGCGCAGGATTATGTGAGGGGAAGTGGAGGAAGGTGATTGGCGTTGTACTCTAGGGTGAGGATCTGGTTGCAGTTCAGTCTCGAGCTGGTGGAGTCAGTACGCCGGCACAATGCAGTACACGCAGGAGACGGTGAAGACACTCTCGCAGTGTTTTCTACAAACTCTCGCGACTGATTCTGAGCCGCGGAAGCAAGCAGAAAATTTCTTGAAGCAGGCTGCAGATCAAGCCGGCTATGGAATGGTAATTATGCAGATTGTTTGTGAGCCCTCCGTAGAAGAGGAAGTGAGACAGGCTGCAGCTGTGAATTTCAAGAACCATATCAAGTTCCGATGGGCGACTCCAGATTCCGATGTTTCATCGTCGGTGATCTCAATCCAGGACCCGGAGAAGGAACAGATCAAAGGGGCGATTGTCAAGGTGATGCTTAGTACGCCTCCTAAGATCCAGTCGCAGATTAGCGAAGCCCTGGCTATTATGAGTCAGCACGACTTTCCTAGGAAGTGGCAAACACTTCTGCCAGAGCTTGTTAGCAGCCTGTCCTCTGCCACTGACTACACCACTATCAATGGCATCTTACAAACTGCCAACTCAATTTTCAAACTATTTAGATATAAATTCAAGTCCAATGAGCTTTATATTGATTTGAAATACTGTCTTGACGGCTTTTGTGTGCCGCTCCTGGAGATTTTTCAGAAGACTGGGTTGATCGTTGCTGCCAATACCGCAGCCCCTGCTATTTTGAAGCCTGCATTAATATGCCAGCGCTTATGTTGCCGAATCTTTTACTCTCTTAACTTCCAAGAGCTTCCTGAATTTTTTGAGGAGCATATTGCTGATTGGATGGGAGAGTTTCACAAGTATTTGACATACACAAATCCTTTATTGGCTGAAAATGATCCTGAGAAGACGAGCGTCGTAGATGATCTCAAGGCAGCAGTTTGCGAAAATATCAATCTGTACATGGAGAAAAACGAAGAAGAGTTCCAGGCCTATTTGAGTCAGTTTGCCACAGATGTTTGGGGGTTACTCATGACTGTTTCCCTAAACCCCGGTCAGGACAGATTAGCAACGACTGCCATAAAGTTTTTGACCACAGTGAGTAAGAGTGTGCATCATAAACTTTTCGCCGATCTGGCAACCCTAACACAGATTTGTGAGAGTATCGTTATTCCAAATGTGAGGATTCGAGAGGAGGATGAGGAGCTTTTTGAGATGAACCACGTTGAATACATTAGGCGCGACATGGAAGGCAGCGATCTGGATACCAGGTATAATGTCTACGCACATTGGTTGTGTGAGCATTTTTAGGTGTTGTGTAGCAGTGGTTTTTGTGTCTGTTTTTATGTTGTGCGGGTACCATGTTGTGTCGGTTGTCTTTAAAATATGCTATGATGTTTGGTTTGTTAAAGCGTCGCTTTGT